GGCATTTAACAAGAACAACAGGTTCGTCCATGTCCATTATCTTTTTTTTTTTTTTTTTAATATTTTATTGTGAATTATGTGACAGTTTACATGGGAGAACATTAGTTTTACATTCATCCATTATATCGTTTCATTGCCATGGTTACAATCCCCTCCATGCATCATCAACCAACCAAAGCATGTCCAATTATCTTTAACTCCATTTTCCCCGTAAGCTGTTTGAAGCCTCCTGGTACATCTCTGGCCATAGTCAGAGGCGGGTCCACCTCAGATTCCCTCCCTCTTACCCCCTTGGAGCTGCTGGTCTGAGATGGAGGAACAGTGGTGTAGCAGGGAGTAGACAGGGCTGATTTCTGATCCTGCCTTTGTATCTAATTCATAGACAGGATATTTGGGCTCTCTGAGCCTTAATCTTATCTGTACAGTAAGTGTGGTGATAGGTGAATGAAAATGCTTTTGTGGATGGAAACAATAAGAAACAAATGAAGTGATATAAATCATTGGCCCTTAACTCCCCCAGCCTTAGGCAGGGAGTCTTACCTGTAGAAGGAGTAAGACCCTTTGGCTCATTTGCCCAGAGGATTTGCACCTACTCCCTGAGTGTGGGTTGAGAATGCCTTTCTTGGCGCCAAGAATGGCCACTATGAGGTGGAGTCATGTTAGGGGCTCTGAGCTTGCCCTACATCCCTGCCTTCATACATGTCTTTGCTAGAATGCCATCCCAGCTCTGAGGGTCTTAGATCAACAGTTAATGAAGAAGTCCCGAGACATCATCCAGTCTCACTTCCTCTTTGAGACCAGGAGAGAACAGGGACATCCCTCAAGATCATACAGAAAGTGGCCCTTTCAGTTCTTATTTGTTCCCATCCAAGCCTACTCTGGGCTCATGTGGTTCAGAGTGCTAATCCTGAGACCATGTTCCAGCTGAGGGCTGTGTGAGGATCTTGTTTGAACTTTCAGTAAGCCTGAGTTCCAGTTCCTTCAATATTAACCAGTCTTGTGACTGTGGACTGTGGTGAGTTATTGCTATGTGCCGTAGAGTCAGTTCTGACTCATAGTGACCCTGTACAGGGTTTCCGAGGCTGTAAATCTTTACGGGAACAGAAAGCCTCATCTTTCTCCCACGGAACCGCTGGTAGTTTCGAGCTGCTGACCTTGCGGTTCGCAGCCCTATTTGTAACCACTACACTACCAGAGCACCCAGGTGAGTATTAAACAACAGGGGAGAATATCTTGCCCCATGTTAGGCACCTTGCTGTTATTAGCTGCTGTAGAGTCTGCTTCTGACACCTGGTGAGTCTGTGCACAGTGGATCAAAACAATGCCCAGTCTTGCGCTATCTCACAATTGCTTATAGATTGGACCATTGTGATCCATAGGATTTTTATTGCTCTACGCTCAGAGTATAAAGGGATGGCCAGGCTTTCCTTCCAGTCTGTTTTAGTCTGGAAGCTCCGCAGAAGCAGAAACCTGTTTTGCATTAGAGCAGTATGCAAGCCTCCACTGACAGGTGGGTGCTTTCAACTGAGGTGCTTTGGCAGGTAATTGAACCCTAGTTTCCTGCATGGAAGCGAAAGGATCCACCAATGCCCCAACCTTGGACATCTCTTGCTGTGTACCATCAAGTTGATGATGACTCACAGTGACCCTATATGACAAAGTAGAACTGTCCCCTAGGCTGTACTTTTGAGGGGAAAGATCCCTAGTGGTGCTATGGGCTAAGCATTGGGCTGCTAACCACAAGGTTGGTGGCTCAAACCTACCTATTACTCTAAGGGAGAAAGATGAAGCTCTCTTCTCCCTGTAAAGATTTGCAGTCCTGGAAAACCTAGCAAGCAGTTCTGCTCTGCCTTATAGGGTCTCTGTGAGTGGGAATCAATTCAATAGAAGTGGATTTGGGATTTTCGGGGGAGCAGATCTCTAGATCTTATCTCCCATGGAGTCTCTGGTGAGTTTGAACCACTAATCTTTTAGTTAGCATTTGAATGCTTAATTGCTACACCACTGAGGGCTCCATACCTTGGCATCTAATAGGTGCTTAGCAATAGACTCTGTGGGACTATATAATGGTTGTGACTTATTGTGCACATGGTATGTGCTGATTGTGCATGGACTTTTTTTTTTTCCTAAAAAACTTTTTATTTGGGAGCAATTTTAGATTTATAGAAAAGTTGTAAAGCTAATACAGAGTTTCAGAATATTCCTCACCCAGTTTCTTTTCATTTAGCACCTTGGGTTGCTAAATAAGAATACAGCATTGGTATATTAATTACTATTAACTAAACTCCAGACATATTCTTTGGATTTCACCAGTGTTTGTGTTAATGTCCTCTTTTTGTTCCAGGATCCAATCTAGGGCATCATGTTGCATTTTGTTGTCATGGCGCCCTAGTCTCGAGTCTGGGACAGTTTCTTTCTTTTTTTTCAACTTTTTATTGTGTATTGAGTGAAAGTTTCCAGACAAGATCATCAGTTTTATATTCAATAAATTGTACATTATTTTTCATCTTAGTGATTGCAGTCCACTTTATGTAACAGCAGTTATCCCACTTCCTCCCTGGGTTCCTAGTTCCACACCACCCACCTTCCCATCCCTTCTCAACTTTGCCCTTAGGTAAATGTTGCCCTTTTGATTTTGCATACCTTACTAGTGTTGTCTCCCCTGTATGCCTGTCTATTGCTTGGCCAAAAATTGGGCTATGAGGATAAGTTTCTAGGACAGTTTCTTGTTTTTTTTCCCTAAATTTTCATAACCCTGACAGACATGGATCATGCCGTGTACTTTCTGCTTATGAACTGCCAGTGCTCACACTAGCCCTGTGAGGAAGGTATAGTCATGCTCATTTAATAGATGAGGGAACTGACTATCAAGAGAGGTTAACTTACCTCTGGTTGTGGCTAGTAAGAACGACTGAGTTGTGACTTTTGATTTGTGCCCATATCTCTCCTTCTGAACTGTTGTATGCTGCCTCTTTCCACATAGAGTGTTGGCCTAGGTAAGAGATAGCAAATACCTCGGTTGTTGTTGTTGTTACGTGCCATCGAGTCGGTACTGACTCATAGTGACCTTATGCACAGCAGAACGAAACACTGCCCAATCCTGAGCCAACCTCACTACTGTTGCCACATTTGAGTCCATCAATGCTGCCAATAGGCCAATCCAAAATACCTCGGTGGGCATTGCTAATCCATCACACCTTCTCTCCCTATGAGCCAGGCCGTGGTCAAAAGAATTCATTGCCACGGAGGTCTCTGTCTAGGCACTCCTATAGAGAAAATCATCTTGTTCTATCTGGCTTAGGATGTGGTGTGTGTTTGGCTAATAGTATTATTAATGTACCAGTGCTGATTTTTTTAGTTGGTAACCTAAGAGGTTAACATGAAAAGAAACTAGATGAAGAATATTCTGAAACTCTGTAGTAGCTTTGCAACCTTTCTATAAATCTAAAATTGATCCCAAATAAAACGTCTATTAAGGAAAAAAAAATGTCTGTGCACAATCACGGCACAATAAGATATATATATATATATATATATATATATATATATAGTCCCACAGAGTCATTTGTTAAGCATTTATTAGATGCCAAGGTCAGGAGCCCTTGGTGGTGCAGCAGTTAGGCATATGTGTGTGTATGTGTTTGTGTGTGTGTGTGTGTGTGGCATGCTTAAAAGAGAAGATGGGATTCTTCAGCTCCAACAGGGTTCTCTACTCCAACAGGGTTCTCTGGTTGCTTTTCTAGTCCTGAACCAATTCTCATTGTGAAATAGACTGCTTAGAATCTGAAAGCAGCCCTGAAAATGGCTAGTCCTCCTACTCGCCAGCCCAACACTTAATTCTAGGCATTTTTTATTTGGTGTTGGCCTCCTAACTGGTCACCCTCTTCTACTCTTATTCTTCTTCAATCCATTCTCAACCAAACATCCAGGCAGGGCACTCTCCTTCAATGACTCCTGTTGCATATACAGTAAACCCTGTTTCTGGACTCTGGTCTCTGAGGTCTTTGTTTAAATGACCCGGCCCACCTCCCAACCTCAGGGTCCCACATCTACTACATCCAGCCCAGTAACTTTTTTGTAGTACCCAGAGAACAGCTAAGCTCCTTCCTAGCTACCTTAAGGCCTTTGCCCATGCTACTTCTACCTGGAACATTCTTTCTCTCTGTGGTTCACATGGTTGGCGTCTTATCCTGTAGAAGTCTGGCTTATGTATCCCTTCCTCACCATTTTATTATTTTTAACATCATGTTTGTACATTTCCTTAGTAGTACTCACAAGTCACTGTGGTTAGCATTTATTTACATTAGACTTCAAGCTCCACAGGGAAGGCAGAGACCATGTCCAATTGTTTACTACTATTGACACAGCGCCGAGTGCATGGCCTATAATCATTAATTCATAAATATTTATGGGATGAATGTTGAATGAAACATGGGTAATGCAGGATGAATCAGACCTTGCCCTTGCCTTTCTCAGCCATCAGATTTCATTCCAAGGAACAGAAACCTATTGCAAGAAGTTTGAATGATGGGAGAGTTTATTAAAGCTGTATATAATACATCTCACGAAACTAATGGTAGCAAGATGTAGAGGCTGAGAAGTTCCCGAGATGTCCAGTGCTGTCTCTTAGAGTTTCTTAGTTATCTCATCGTGCCGTAACAGAAATACCACAAGTGAGTGGCTTTAACAACAGAAATTAATTTCTTCACAGTTTAGGAGGCTAGAAGTGTGAATTCAGGGAACCAGCTCTAGGGGAAGGCTTTTTTTCTCTGTTGGTTCTGGAGGAAGAAGGTCCTTTCCTTTTTTAGCTTCTGCTCCTAGGTGATCTTCATGTGGTACAGTGTCTATTTTTTTCCCATTTCTGCTTCTCTTCCTTGCCTGTTTAATCTCTTTTAGATCTCATAAGAGATTGATACACAATGCACCCTACATGAATCCTGTCTCATTAACATAACAGAGAGAATCTATTCCCAAGTGGGATTATAACCACAAATATAGGTTAGAATGTGCAACACATTTTGTTTTGCGGGGGGAGCACACTTTAGTGTGCCTGACTTTTTTGCTATGAGCTACTTATACTTGCTATTACTTTTACTACACCCCTGAGAAAATCTAGAAAACCAAAAACTAAGCCAACTGCCATTCTGGCTCTTAGTGACGTTGCATAAGGTTTCTAAGGCTGTAAATCTTTCCAGGAGCAGACAGTGTCATCTTTCTCCCATAGAGTGAGTGGTGGGGTTGAACTGTCGACTTTACAGTTAACAGCCCAATGCCTAACCCACAAGTACCACAGAAGAAGATATAAATGCCTTAACTTAATAGATGTGGAAATTGAGGCACCACATGCTAAATTTGGCTGCACTATGATTTCAACCCAGATCTATTTGATGGAAGCCTTGATTTACTGCATGCTTTGCTCCTAAGCAATGTCCTTCCCTGCTAGCTTATACAGCCTTTCAAGTAAAGTGTAATGCGAGATTCCATCTGTTCCCTCTTCTATAGACCAGCAAAGCCCTTGATCTCATTTCTTTCCCAACTTCAGGGTGCCCTGGCCCCACCCCAAGCTTATGTCCCAATGGCAGCACAAAATGCAGCATCCTCTTGGTGATTCAACTTCTGTGTCTCAATCCCAAAACCAGGGCAGAGAGATCTGTTTGTATAGCTTGGATTAGGTTTCCTAGTCAGCCCATTGGTGTGTTGAAGGTGGGGTCAGGGACTGGTGGTCTTTCTTTCTAAGGGCATGATGGTGAGAGTGCTGAAGCTTTCTTGCAGACTGTCTTCAGGGGGTTTGGAAAGGCGTGGGCAGGCAGACAGTGGCCCATGGAAATGAAAAGTAGTTGGTCACATGCAGTTGGACAAGACTGTGGTGGAATTAGCAGACCTTCTGGGGGATGCGGAAGACGATCAGAAGTGGCTGAGCAGAGGGAAGAAGGGGTGATTCAGGCAGGGGCCTGGCATGAGCAATGACCTGGGCTTTGGAAAGTCTAGTAGTGGGGAAGTTCATTTCTTAGGAACTGTTCATCACATGACCCATGGTGTATCTTTTCATGACTGCCCTTCAGGTTAGGGTTTTGGAGGCTATCTGTTTCCCATAGAGTATGATGTGTGCACAGGATCATAGATATGAGCTATGAACTAGAGTATTTTAGGATCTAATGGGAGCCCCAAAGTGGCAGGTTGGAGAGGGATAGGGGGCAGTGAAGTAGGAGATCACAAAAGGAACCAACCAACGGTGGATAAGGTTAGTCTCCTGTTTTGTTTGACTCAAAGGACAACTTGCTTTTGGGAAACTTTGTCTTTGGAATCTTTTATCTTACTTATAAAACGTTGTTAAGTGCATTTGAGTCATTTCTGATTCAGTGCTTCTGAGGAGCAGCTGGTGGGTTTGAACTTTCCACCTTGTGGTTAACAGTCCAGTGCTGATCCTACAGCACCACACTACAAATATCCTGTGTTTATTGATATGGAAACTGAGGCCAAAAGTCCTACCCACATTCTGTGGATTGTTCTGCCCTGTAAGTAATGCTTGTTAATGTTTCTCTTTTCTTCTTTCCTTGTTGCCTGATTTCTCCTGGCTATCCCAGCTGGGTAGCTTTTCCTGGGATAACTGTGACGAGAAGGACCCTGCTGTCATCGAAAGCCTGACCCTGGAACCTGACCCCATTGCTGTTCCTGGGGATGTGACTGTCAGTGTCGAGGGCAAGACCAGTGTCCCCCTTGAGTCTCCTCAGAAGGTGAGACTAGAGGTGCTGGAGGGAAGGTGCCATGGGACAGCTGTCAGAAGTACTGAGAGAGGAGTACACTCCAGGAACTGCAAAGGATTTTATAATACTGGAATGTCACAAGAGCCAAGAGTGCATAGATTCATAGACTCCATCTCAGGTTCATGGAGTCTGAGGTTCATGGGTTGAAAGGAATGTGTGATGTCATCCCCAACAACTTCCTGACAAAGACACAATGATTGAGACATCACACCTGACAGGTTGTCGTCTTCCAGTCTCCTGTGGATATGACAGCACAGTGCTTATTGTCCACAGATTGCTCTGGTTGGACACTTTGGTTATTTTGTTGTTATTAAGTGCCGACAGTCAGTTCTGACTCATAGCAACCCTACAGAAGGTTTCTGTGGAGTGGCTGGTGGGTTTGAACCCCCAGTCTGATGATTAGAAGTTCAGTGTTTATCCTAAAGAGCCACACCAGGACTCCAAGTTGTTTTGTTATTAATTATAAAATAGACATACCAATTATCAAGTACTGTATAGTCACTTTCTGGAGAAAGATGAGGCTTTCGGCTCTCGCAAAGATTTAAAGTGTTGAAACCCTATACAGGGTGAGTATGAGTCGGAACTGACTCGATGGTACCAAGCAACAGCAATAATATAGTAACTTTAGAAATGCAAGAGGTCAAAAGGGGAAAAATGAAAAGAAGTCACTTGAAATTTCACTACTAGCTATAAAATGTAAATACATTTTTAAACATTTCTTAGTACTGTGAAGGGATCTTAGTGTGGTGCTGTGGGTTAATACGCTGGACTGCGAAGTCGGTTTGAACCACAAGGTCAGCAGTTCAAGCTCATCAGCCGCTCCTCAGAAACCATTTCATTTTTGACCAACTTCTAGTTTTCCTAGATTCATACTGTATGTATTCCACATTCTGATTATTAATGAATGTTTGCAATGGTTTCTTCTCATTTTGAGTCTTGTCCCATCAGCAAATGAATGTCCCTAATGTTTTGCTCCATTCACATCATTAAGGTCAAGTCAACTTTGAGGAAGCAGCTCTTCCTTAGTCATATTTTGAGTACCTTCCAACCTTAGGAGCTCATCTTCTGGCACTGTATCAGTGTCCCGTTGCTATTCATAAGGGTTTCAGTGGCCAATCCCTCACAAGTGGACTGCCTATTCTTCTTATAGTCAGGGAACTCTGCTGAAGCCTGTCTGCCAGGATGGCCCTGCTTGTATTTGAAACACCAGTAGCATATCTTCCAGATTTAAAGTACCACACAAGCCACCACAGTATGATAAACTGACAGGCAAATGGTTGTGCCTGGTTTTAGTTTTGAGTTTTCCTTCTCTAGCAGGTTTCCACCTTATGCAGATTGATTTTCACAGGTTTTACTGTACACTACTTTGAAATACAGCGTAGTGGTTATGAATCGGGTTTCTAACCTCAGGGTTAGAAACTACCAGCTGTTCCGTGGGAGAAAGATGAGGCTTTCTGCTCTCGTAAAGCTTTACAGCCTTGGAAACCCTATATAGGGTTATATTGCTGTGAGTCGGAATCAACTCCACAGCACATAACAACAACAACTTTGAAATACACATAAAAACATTATTATTACTGTGTTATTATGTTAAAGATGTTTTAATGTATCTGGAAGTGTCTTTTTATGCTTAGAAAGGAACTGTATATATCATATACTAAGACAAACACTTGGCAGTTACTGATGTGGTGCTGTGGGTTAATGCCCTGAACTGCAAAGTCGGGTTGAACTGCAGGGTTGGCAGTCAAGCTTACCAGCCACTCCTCAGAAATCCTATACAGGGTCACTATGGGTTGGAATTGACTCTGTGGCACTTAGCAACAACAACAACAAGATAAACACTTGACTAAATGATGCAGATATGACCTGTACCTAAATAATGTTCTTACTGATATACAAATTAGATTTATGACAGATTTAGGAATAGAACTCGTCTGTAATGCAGGGATCTGCTTGTATATGAAAATAAGCAGTGCTTAATATAAATGATAGTGTGGTGGTTACAAATCGGGCTGCTAACCTCAAGGTCAACAGTTATAAAAACTACCAGTGGTTCCGTGGGAAAAAAGATAAGGCTTTCTGCTCCTGTAAAGATTTATAGCCTCGGAAACCCTACATGGGGTGGCTGTGAGTCAGAACTGACTCCACAGCACATAACCCCCACTGTTGTAAATGTCCTTCTGTATTCTGACTCCTCAGGAGATCATCATTATTAACTGTTTGCATAGCCCAGCAAAATTTTTTATGCATATGTAAACATATATGCATTTGCACTAACGGGATTATATGGTGTGTGCTATTAAACTTGTTATTTAAAAAAATTTTTTACATCATACAATATGTTACGTATCTCTTTCCATGATATTTGGTATTGTGTGCCATCAATTGATTCTGACTCACAGCGACCTTATCAGGCCGAGTGGAAGTGGCCATGTGGTTTCCATGGCTATAATCTTTAGTAGAGCAGATTGCCAGATCTTTTCTCCCATGGAGGTACTGTTGGTGTTAAACGTCGTAGAGTTGGTTCTGACCCATAGTGACCCTATATAGGGTTTCTGAGGAGGACCTGGTAAACTTGAACTGCCGACCTTGCAATTCAAACAGACTTTGCAGTCTAGCTCATTAACACACGGCACCACACCAGGACTCCATAGAGAGACTGGTAGCTTTGAATTACTGACCTTCTGGTTAGCAGCTGAGCACTTAGCCATTGCACTACCAGGGCTACCTAATCTAACTGGTTTAAGGGCAGCAAATATTCTACTGTGTATCTGTCATAATTTATATATGTTTTAGTTTGTTTCCAGTGTCTGTTTTTGCTATTGCAACCCCCTTGTAGAAATGACTCTTACAGTGCATCTTCGTGCAATTTTCTGATTATGTACATTGAGACATTATAGATCTTTTGATGCATGTTGCCAAAGGGCCTCCAAATGTTTACGCTGATTTATCCTTTCAGCAGTAACAACGAGTTTACCTTTTCCTACATATTTGTTGCTGACTTCTTTCTTGGCATTTTCTAAAAATTACTCATCATGTTAAATGCCTTCTCTCATATGTTGCTTTTTGTGTTACTTCCATTTTGTGCTCACATCCATTGTTTATTTTGAGGTATATATTTCCATGTTTTCTTACACAACCACAAAAGTTTTTATATATCCATTATAGCACCATTTAGTGTTCATTCCTTTTGTAAAAAATGGCGTGGCGCCTCAAGGAGTGGGGAAAATCATGCTCAGCTTCTGCCCAAAGCCCAAGGCTGATTTCTATGACATGGAGGTCTGACATGCTTCCTTTCTCCAAAACTTCTTAACAGTTCTGACGCCAGTGGTTGCTCCCAAACACTCTTTGCTTCTCTGTTGGGTTTGATCATTTGTTGCAATGGCCTCACAGAACTCATGAACTAGGCTCACAATTTTTTGAGTTTATTTGGGAAGTAACAGGCTACAATTTGGGACCAAGATCAGCCTGGAAGTAACAGGAACAACTCAGGATAGAATTCTTTGCTCAGGACAGCTTCTTCTCAGCTGCGCCCGGAGGTAGGCCTCTGCCCCCAGGTCCTGACTCTTCACCCCCTCCTCTTGGCTCTTGTTTTCAGCCTCACATCCTATTCAGACCGTCCTGTTCAGACCAGTGTAACAAGTCCTTAGCACTGCCAATAAATCCCTGAGGTACCCTACTCTGCCCGCAAGCATCCTGTTTGAAGACACTCAGCTCTCTCCATCCCTGGGTTGACAAGCCTATTGCAGTAGCTTGTTCAGTGGGCCAGGAAGTCCACCTTGCTATCTCATGTCAGTCTCTGGGTTCTGCTACTGCCACTTCTCTACCACTGAACTCTGCCATGCTTGCACCTGATCCTCGCCATCTCTAATGTTGCAACTCTTTCTATGATCATGAAGATGGTGTGGCACCAGGCAATGGTTTGTTTTATTTTCCAAAAGGTTGAAATGAGTCAGAGTCCACCTGAGGGCAACTCATAACACCTTTTCTATTACTTTATTACTGGCTACAATTTTGGGCTTCTTTTGTCTTTCTGTACCCTTACTTGTGTTTTGGAAAATTGGACTCTATTCCTTCCCCTCCCACTACAGTTCTCTTATATAAATGACGGGGTTTCATAAAGTCTCCAGAAAAATTCCATTATCTTTTCATTCCATTTTTCATGGACTTTTTTTTTTTTTTTTAATTACTGAAAAGACCTTTAATTTTAACACCCAGCATCCAGAACACAAACTCAGCTGGGAAGGCATCTGAGGGTCTCGCAGTCTGCGCTGGGAGCACACACATGGTCAGCAGGAGCCAGTTTGTGCCCTTGGTGGCAGCTGGGGGCGCCCTGTCTTATCAGCACTGACAGCCCACTAGGCCTCAGGGGTCTGCCATCGGGAGGATGTCACATTTCCGTCCTGGGCAGTGTCCCAAAGGTGCTGTCCCTACACTCCCTCGTCTCTGGGGCTGGGTGGAGGGAAGAAGATGGCCTTGTACACAGGAAGACCCAGAGATAGACACTCCATCCTGTTGAGAGGTCGCCCAAGGTCTCACAGAGCAGGGTAGGCGCTGAATCGGCTTGGGAGCTCATAGGTGACAGAGGCCGGGGGGGGGGGGGCCACAGTGGGAGCAAAGCCTAACGCTGCACCATGGGGCTAGGAGACATCTGTCCTCGGGCAGAGAGAGCAGCCCACCAAAGCTGAGCAGGGTCTCCCTAGCACTGCTCCAGTTCACAGGAAGGTCAAGTCTTCCCCAAGGAGACCTTCAGGACGTGACACTGAGACTCCTCCGAGTCCCATCCCCTGCAGGGGACAAGTGCTCCCTTTCTCTACAGGGTGGGAGTGTGGGGGAGTGAAAGTGGGGGAGCATTACAATGCGTTGTCAGACCCAGGTCACCTCTGACAGCTGGTGAATCGCCGGGTGGTGGTGTTAATAGAGAGAGAGCAGGGTCTTCACCTGTGGGCACGGTCACTACTGCACCGTACCTGCCCGTGGTCTCGCTGGTCCGGATGATCTTCACCACCTGGCCGCGCTTTATCCCAAAGTACCGCGCCACTGGGTCTCCAGCCTGGATCCTGGGCAGCTGGTTCTCCTGGAGTTTATATCGGGCCAGCAGGGCCAGCAGCTCCGTCACCTCCTCCTTGGTCATCACCACGTGCTCGGGAACCAGCTCGTGCTCCGTGATGTTGATGAGCAACTCCTGCTGAAGGAACTGCTCCAGGATGTACTTGGGGGCCATGTCGACCAGAGACTGCTTGGCTGACAGGGTCATGCCCTGCTTCACCACAATGAGAGCCCGGGTGATGTTCTCCTCCTGCATGCGCTGACAGTACACCTTGATGGTCTTGATACCCACTTTGGGCTCCTCTGGAAAGAAGACGAACATCTGGTCAGTGGGGTCATCATTGTGGGCCACCAGCACAATGAGGTCTGTGCGCCTCGGCCGGCCTTCACTCGGCTTGTCCCCAAACTGCGCTTTGAACTCCTCCAGCGTCTGGTCTAGCTCATCCTGGGTCACCAGGTAACCACGGTCGTGACATAGCTGCATGATAGTTTTACGGATCTTCCAGAGCCGGTATGTTTCCTCCTCATCGTCCATGGCCGCGTTGCTTCTCACCGCCAAGCACTTCGCCTTTTCATGGACTTTTTGAAGCCCCCTCATATAAGTTTGGTTTAGTTCTTTTGTCTTTTCAGGGTATGTACATATCAGCTATTAAATGAAAGCATTTCTGACCCTTGTGTAAGGAGAATGGATGATTAGACTCGTTTCGCAGACAGGGCTAGTGAGGCTCAAAGAACCTGTGTAGATAGCTCGCCATTAGTACTTACAAAGCTGGTGCCCTTGTGATTCCTGAGCTCTTTCCAGTGGGGAGGTAGATCTAGTACTTAATGTGTTTGTAGGGAAGTGCCTGGGTGATACAATGAATGCACTCGATTGGCTGCTAACCAAAAGGTCAGAGGTTAGAGGCTCCAGCAAGAAAGGCCTAGTGATTGCTTCTGAAAAAAACAAAACAAAACATTGTTAGAGCGATCTAAGATCCAGAGGGTACCGAGGAAGGTAGAGTCTTCACTGAGTAGTATCCAATCTGTCTGGGCAGGACTGATGAAAGGAGATGGGGATAGGACTCTTGTGGTACAATAGTGAATACTTGCTACCAGGACTGGTTCCAGCTCATTGCAACCCTGTATAGTTTCTGAGGTTGTAAATCTTTATGGGAGCAGAAATTCTCATCTTTCTCTTGTGAAATGGCTGGTAGTTTTGAACTACTGATCGTGAGGTTAGCAGCCTGACTCATAACTTTTACGTTGCAGGAAGAAAAAATCTGTATCTAATTGAGTGCATGCAGTTCAGATCTGTTGTTCAGGGGTTATCTGTACTAAGTGAAAGTTTAGCACAAGACAGGAACAAGTAGAACTGTCACATTAAATGAAGCCTTGGCCACTTTTCCTAGGTCATCATCAACATCCAGAACAGGACAGAATCATGACAGCTTGGAGGTGTAAGCATGTTATAATTATTTTCATCCAGCTTCCAAATGCATATTGTAAAGATCTTTCTCATAATGATCCCAAATGATCTCCCAATAAATTTCTATTGCTCTTAATTCTGTCTTCTGTGGATAGCTGGAGAAAATATGATTTAAGCATAGCAAATAGGTTTTATTTTTTTTAATATATTTTATTGAATTTTTGGTGAAAGGTTACACAGCAAGGTAGGTTCCCATTTGATAATTTCCACACAAATTGTTCAACAATATTAGTTAAATTTACCTCAATAGGTCAACATTCTCTTTAACTGTGTTATGTTTGTTACTTTGCTAGTATTCCAGTTTCTCTGTTCCCTTGTTTTCTGTGCTTTTGAGTAATTGTTGACCTTTTTGGTCATACTCATGGTTTTTAAGTAATGTATCTTTCAGGTGGGTGATGGTGGTGGTGGTAGTTATGTGCTGTGGAGTTGGTTCCTACCATGGCGACCCTGCGTAGGGTTTCTAAGGCTGTAAATCTTTATGGGAGCACAATGCCTCATTTTTCTCCTGTGGAACAGCTGGTAGTTTCGAACTGCTGACCTTGAGGTTAGCATCCCAACTCGTAATCACTATTTGTATGCCACTACGCTTTTTTCATAAAAGGTGATCTCAGAATAAGCTCAGTTTTAGTTTTAAAGAAAGTCTCAAGGCAATAATCTCAGGCAGCTCTCAGTTTTTGGTAGATGTTGGTAAGCTGTCAAGTCAGTTTCAGCTCTTAGTGACCCCATGTAGGGTTTCCAAGGAACAACCGGTGGGTTTGAACTGCTGACCTTGCGGTTTCAATAGATGGCTGCATTAAACCTGAATTCTCAGTCTATTTTGCTGGACTGTTTGTCTACCATTGAGCCAGCACACATAACAAAAAAAGGAAAGAACAATTCTGTATTATGCACATGTTATTTAGTTTTGAAATACAGTAAGCCTTCTAATCCATGAACATGGGATGTCTCTCCATTTTTGTAGGTATCGTTTAGTATTTTGTTATTAGGTCCCATTGAGTCAGTTCTGACTCATAGCATCCTTATATACAGTACAATGAAGCACTGCCTGATCCTCCCAGAGCCTCACAATCATCCCTGTGTTTGAGTCCATTGTTGTAGCAATTATGTCAATTCATCTCATTGGGAATGTTCCCCCTTTTCACTGATTTTCTACTGTACCAAATGCAATGTCTTTCCCCAGAGGCTAGTCCCTTCTGATGACATGTGTAAAGTACATAAGATGAAGTCACATCACCCTTGTTTAGAGTTGTTCTTGTTGTTGTTTTGTTAAGTGCCGTGGAGTTGGTTCCGACTCATAGCAACCCTATACAGGGTTTCCGAGGCTGTAAATCTTTATGGGAGCAGAAAGCCTCATCTTTCTCCCATGGACAGCTGGTAGTTTTGGACCTCTGACCTTGCAGTTTGCAGCCTGATTCGTAACCACTATGCTACCAGAGCTCCTTTAATGTTGATCTAGTAGTGGCAAATTCCCAGAGCTTCTATTTCTTTGGGAATGTCTTGATGTCCTCCGCATTTTTGAATGACAACTTTGCTAGATAAAGAATTCTTGGTTGACAATTGCTTTCTCCCAGTATTTTATATACATCACTCCATTTTCATAGTTTCTGGGTAAAATCTACACTGATTCTTATGGAAGACCCCTGGTATTGTGTTCCTTTTCTTGCTCTCAAAATTATCTCCTTGTCTTTGGTTTTCAAGAATTTTATTAGGATGTGACAGGAGTTGATGGTTTTGTGTCGCTTAATTGGGGTTTGTATAGCTTCCTATATTTACAGACTTGATTCTCTGTTCACCAGTCAGTGGGTGATGACTGCCTGGAGAATTTTAAGGCTGTATATGGGTCACTGATGGAGGAAATACATCAAAATTGATTATTAATGCCTGTCACAGGCACAAATTATTTCTGTGCCTTTATTATTGTCATGGTGCTGTTATTCTAATAATTCTAATGTTAGATTTCTTAATTGAATCCTATGTTTCCTTTTGGGTTTGCTCTCTTTTCATCATTCTTTTCTCTGGAGACTTGAAAAATTCAATTATTTTGTCTTCTAGTTCGTTTATTTTATCTTACATGTGTTTGACTATTGTTGAGTATTTCTCTTGCTTTTTCTAATTGTTTTATTCTTCCATTCCAGTAGTTTTATTTTTATTTTTTGCAGACGATGTTTTCAGTTTCCATGTTGAGGATTTCATTTAGTTTCTCACTGTTTCCTGATTTCTACTAGTTTGTTTTCTGTGTGCTTTTTGATTTCTTTAAACATATTTAGCACCATATTGTTATTACTTGTTGTTAGCAGCCATTGAATCAGTTCTGACTCACAGTGACCCTGTATAGCGTTTCCAAGGAGCAGCTGGTGGGTTTGAACCACCAACTTTGTGACTAGCAGTCCAGTGCTTATCCTGCAGCTCCATACCAGGAATTTTTCAATTCTTTGCATAATTCTGGTCTCTGTAAGAGAAATTTCCTCTTTTTCATGTTTTGCTTTGACTGGCCCTTCTTCCTTTATGACTTTGAGTGTCTAACTACTTTTTATTTTTTTAAACTTTAAATTTTGTATTCTTGTTTTTGTGGGAATTTCCTGATTGGATGCTTAGTGGGCAGGTACCAAGTACCTGGCTATCAGACAAAAGGCCAGGGTTGACACCCACCAGTCATTCCACAAGACAGAGATATGGCAGCTCTCCTCTGCAAAGACTTCTTGCAAAGAACCCCATGGAGCATGCACTCAGTCTCACAGGGTACTTACTAGTCAGAATTGACCCAGTGGTAACGGGCTTGGTGTCTTCTCTCGAGAACCACCGGAGGGTACGCTTATCCTTAGGTTAGGAGTTGTTGAATCAGGAGTTCTGGATATGTGTGTTGGAGGGAGGGGAGAGCATTTAGCTGTTTGCAGATACTGACCTAATGGTGGAGCTTGACTTTCCTGTGGTGAAGATGGAGGGGTGCTCTTTATGTTTTTCCTCCCTGTGAGCCATTCCCTTTGTGTTACCCACCAGTCTGAAGTATTCCCCTATTCCTTCTACCCTTGTTTCTCCTCCCAGTCCTAGTGGCTATCCATTTCAGGCCTCAGTGAGATTCAACAGCATTCTCTTACAGCACCGTGGTCTCCCTTTGATCCCTCCCAGTTGTCCTGCCCATGAACTCCCACAGTGCCTTTACCTTGCCTTAAAAAATATCAGATCACCATTTCCTCAGAGTAGCTCCTTTTTTTGTGTTTCCTGTTGGTGTGTTGTCCAGCCCCATTCAAAAATGACTGTGATAAATGAGCACTTCTGATGTTAATAGGAAGATCCTCCGAACTTCTGCGTCATCCCTGCACTTCCTTTCCTCTGTTTCTGAACTCACACCAACTCTCACCATCAGCACCTCAGCTGCCATCCATAGTTTTGAGATTTCAGCCTGTGCCTGCTTATATCTGTTTGTCAGTGTGGTAATTGTTGTGGGAGTAATTGGGAAACTTCACTCACTTCACCAGCTCCATTTAGTTGGTTGGAACTGCCTGAAGTCTTGTGTGGAAGAGTTTTAGGCCCCAACTGGATTCTCAAGGGAAGTCCAACAAATAATACCACAATTAGCAGTTCAGTGACAAGGAAGTTTCAACTCCATGCGTGATGACTAACTGAAGAATTTTAAGGCTGTATACCAGCCGTTCCACCGGAGAAAGACGAGGTTTTTTGCTCCCATAAAGATTTACAGCCTTGGAAATCCTGTGCAGGGTCATATGAGTCAGAACTGACTCCATGGTACTTAACAATAACATGGGGGGTCAGTGGCACTGTGGGCTAAAGCATTGAACCGCAAGGTCGGTTTGAACCACAAGGTTGGTGGTTCAAACTCACCAGTCGCTCCTTGGAAACCCTATACAGGGTTGCTATGGGTTGTAACCGACTCAATGGCACTTAACAACAGCATTGTGGGTCACTGAGGAGGGAAAGACATCACAATTGATTATTAATGTCTGTCAAAGATACAAGCAAGGACAATATTGGTGCATATGTCACTGTATCATTCCTGGATCAGATTATCTTCAAACTTCTGTCCAATTAAAACATTCTGTGATTAAAAAAAAAAAAAAAAAGCCAATCTTTTCATGAGGCTGGAATGTCTACCCTTGGAATTTCCACTTGTAACCTTTTCCAACCTTTTCCTCATTAGGTGGAATTAGTTGTGGAGAAGATGGTGGCAGGCTTCTGGGTCAAGATCCCATGTGTGGAACAGATTGGCAGTTGCACCTATGACGACATCTGTAATGTACTCGACAATCTCATTCCCCCTGGGGAGAACTGCCCTGAGCCTCTGCACACCTATGGGCTTCCATGCCACTGTCCCTTCAAAGCGGTAAGTACTTTGGGAGGAAGGGCATTTTCCTCATGGCTGGAGTACAGAGATGGGGTTTGGAAAGGAAGACCCTGGAATTCTTCCCCTGAAGATCTCGATGTCCATGATATAAGTTGGTATAATGCATCTTAAACCAACTATCTTTTTGAACCCCAGTTTATCCATCTGAGAAATGGGAGACTTGAACTTGGATGTGATCTCCAAAACCATTGAACTATAACATCCCATGCTCAAGAATGCTATGATAATCTTGTATGACTCTTAGGGGAACCATTCTTGGCTGTAACTCTAGAAGTGGCTCCAGAGAGGGCTCTATCAGTAGGCTCCCACTGACTTGTGGTCCATTTGCTTTCCTGCAGGGCACCTACTCACTTCCCAAATCTAATTTCACCTTGCCTGACTTGGATCTACCCAGCTGGCTCAGCACTGGGAACTACCGCATCGAGAGCACCCTGAGCAGTAACAATAAACGTCTGGGCTGTCTCAAGATCGCCGCCTCTCTCAAGGGCAAATAATGTGGTATTAGCCACAGCAGAATACTGGGATATGATGGAGATGTCTCTCTTTTTTATTTTTGACTTGCAGTTTGTCAAGGACAGATTCTGACTCTGTCCCACTTCAAGTCTTTTTCGGCATTGATTCCACTACCCATGTTGAAAATCATTTTGTGCCACCTGCACATTACGCTGGGGCAAATAGTCCTGGCCGAAGAGAGGAAGACTTTGGCATTTTTTTTGACATCCCAGAATATCTGCTGGACTAACCACTTCACTATTTTCCCTATTCCTATGACCTTCTCCCTAAGAGTTTTACTTATTTCCTAAATAGTTAAAGAATGGGGACTAACATACATGGGAGTGTAAGTTCAGACTGATGGAATTTCTTGAAGTATCTTTATACTTCATCATTAATTTTTAACTTTTTTTCTCACTGACTTAAAAGCAGTGAGAAGAATACTTTAATTGAGTGTGTGATTTAATCTGTTCCTTGATTCATTTCTATGATTTAGTATTTTTTCCCAGGTTTGTCCAATGTGTTTAAAGTTTGCAATCTCAAGTGCCTGCAGGGCCAAGCAACATACAGAAACAAGTGACAAGGCCCATAAGAAACATGTCAGTTTCCATGTGTGTCTTCTCTTGTTTTGTTTTGATAGAGAAATGGGTATGATAAATCTTTTTAAAATTATCTGAAAAACAACAACACATATGCACTGATACAAGATAGCCAGCACCCAATCTTGAATTGGGATAAAACAAAGATGGCAAGAACTGAAGTAAGTTGGACAAGACACATTCATTCCAGAGAAACACCTGCTACCTAACTATAAGTCCATTCATATATGCAAATGGTGTGGTGGCAGCATTGGACCTCTTCTAACTTCACAAGTAGGGAGGAGAATCATTGTCCACATCAATAATGATTCAAGGCTGATTCATGTGAAGCAGAGGGAGTTTGACATACCTCTTCTGTAACTTTTTTTTTTTTTTTAACCAATTTACAGGTGTTACAGCTCTCTCTACTTCTCTGTTGGGTTTGATAATTCCTTTCAATGAATCACAAATAATGCTCACAATGATTGGGTTTACTAGGGATGTGAGAGGCTACAATTCAGGATCAGAAACAACTCAGGATCTAGTTCTTTGATCAGGAAAGCCTCTTCTTGGGCCCTGCTTGAAGCCTCTAGGGCAAGTGTCATAGCTCTATAGCTCTACTAATAAATGCTTAGAGGCACCCAACTCTGTCTCTTGGGTCTAAGGTGTTCTCAGCACAGGGACACTGGGTCCTTTGCTATTTCTTCTTCTTGGTGGTAGTTAGGTCCACCTTTCTCTGCTTGGTTCTCATTTTTTCTCTTGTGAGATAAAAGGTGTGACTCAATCAAGAGTGGTGACTCATTAACACAACCTAACCCTGCTTTATTAAACATGTAGAGATCAAGATTTATACAGTACACAAAGTAGAGGATAATTAGATCACAAAATAGAGAACAGTACTGGGAATCATTGACCCACAATCCCAACCATTACAGGTTCCATACACCTTTTTGGCATGATCCCACCCTGTCTTTGGGTGGGGATCACAGAGATTATGGCAATAGGGCCAAATTAAACAATTCACTATATTTCATAGAGCCACATGAAAATGTAGGCCCAGTATAGCCAGACAGTCTCCATTTTTTTCTACATTTTTATATGAAATCTTATAATTTTTAAATATTGGCACTGTAGGATAAGCACAGTACTTCTAGCCACAGATTGGTAGTTCAAATCCATTACTCACACCTCGAAAATCCTATGCAGGGTTGCTATGAGTCAGAACTGACTCAATGGCATTTAGCAATAACAACAGTTATTTTAAAATACTATGCCAAAATGGAATCAAACAAACTTGTGACAGGAATCTGGCCCATGGACAGTAGTTTGCAACCTCTGATCTAACATGAAGGCATTGTCCTTTCAGTTTCAAGGTAGCTCCCTCTTGGCACCATTTCTTCCTCCAAAAGGCCAAACTCACAGCGTCAAGCCCCAAGGAGAAGGTCAAGCCAACCTCTCTGAAAACTTTGAGTTAAGTTGCAGGATCATGAGGCTGCCTGCTATGCTTCAGAGTGAATGGGACAGAAGCTGAAGAGTTGGACCTGCCAACAGCTGCTTTGTGGAACAAGGAGCAGTGAAGAGATGTTTGTCCATTAGCCTGTCATTCCATGCCAACTCTCAGCTATGTTCTGAACAATGGACCAACCCCAGATCTGGGCTTATTTGAAGCCTGAAATCACAATAAAGCTTTATAATTTACTGCAGTCTTCCTTTGTCTTGGTTTCATAATTCACTTATATATATCTCAGCGCATCTTAATAGCTTGTTTTTGGCCAATTGTTTCTCTTGGAATGATTTGAGCCCCTTGTCTTTGCTTCATCCTGCTCAGTTACCATCCAGCTTCCTCTGTTTGCCTGTTTTGCCTCCCCCTTTATATATCATGGTTTCTAAGCCTTTTCCTTCTACATGAGATCTTTTAGCTTTATTCTTACAAAGAATTCTTATTTCACATTCTAAGTGGAATCTTGTTAGCTCAATTAATTTTATTATGCCATACCTGTTTTAGAATGAAACGGTCTCCATTGGGTCAAGAGTTCAAGGTCCATTCAACTCTTGTGATTTTTGAAAGGGCTCTGTGGGATGGCACAACTAGCATTTCTTGTACAAGGGGACTCCAAAAAGTTTATGGGAAAATTGAATGAAACAATAATGGAATTTTTCCATGAACGACTCTGTAGTATAAGAGCACTCAAAGACTTCCCATACAAAAATTCCAAAGAGGCCCTTGTCTTATATGTTCAATTACCAAACAAATATACTCATTCTTGCAGTGGGATAGTATCTGCAATATTTGGAAGGTTTGTAGATTTAAGTACCAGAATTCATCTAAAAGGCAACTAAAAGACAAGGCATCAATTATGTCAAATAGCAAGTATTTTTGATGAATTGGTATCTCAGTGATGTCATAAACTCCCAGGGGGTTGGAGTTTCCTCTGTGGTCCCATTATTAGTAACTTCAGGTGTCAGGTGGAGGTGAAAAGTTTACTCAAGAAACTCTTCCTGGAAGCTCTCCAATGAGTTTGCCCTCCTGGCTCACCAGCCAAAATTGTCACATGACTGACTAAATTAATCTCTTGGGGAGGGAAGTGAAACCATCAGGACTGGGTTAGACCAATCCTTGTAATAGGAATTCAGGCATCATGAAGGGCATAGTCATTTGGAGGTGGCAGGGTGGTGAGTGGCCTTTGTGTTCATAACCAACAATATCTGAACTAATTCCAAAGTCAAACCCATCTAACAACCAGGAGCAAGTCTGTGCAGGTTTATCGAATCCTGCATATCAATCTCAATTTCAGTGATTCAACCCAAATGTCACTTCTTGAGATTTTGCCATCATGTTCTGGATATCAAATTTAACTTTTAGTAAATCACCTGAGAGGAACAACCAAACCTCTCTACTCATTAAAAAAAAAAAAAAAATTGGTATTCAAGAATAGCTAGACAAATATTGTAAAAGGAGAAACCTACTTAAGCTCAGATGTCTGATTCCTGTGTATTTCATCTGATGAATTTCATGTGGATAGTTATCGTTTATGTTGTTGAAAAAGATATTTGTAATGACTAAGTCATAGGTCTTGCAAAATTTTCTATCACCATGACCTTATTTTCCAACTACTGATTCTTCTTTGCTTCCAACTTTGGCATTCCAAACACCAAACATCTTGATTGCATACTTGACCAATTTCATACTACAGAAATTGGTAAAAATCTTCAATTCATCTTTTGCATTAGTGGTTGTTACACAAATTTGAATAATAGTCATATTAACTAGTCTTTCATGTAGACATATGGAAAGTTATCCTATCACTGAGAGAATTCTACTTCAGGATAGATAATGAACTGGTCCATTTGGCAATGATAATGACACTATTCCTATCCAATTTGTCATTCCCATCATAGTAACCATAGGATTGTCTGGTTTTAAATGGCCAATATCAGTCCATTTCAGCTCACTAATGCCTTATTGTTATTAGGTGCCATCAAGTTGGTACCGACCCATAGCGACCTTATGCACAGCAGAACAAAACACTGCCCGATCCTGGGCCAACCTCACTGCTGTTGCCACCTTGAATCCATCGATGCTGCCACTTGGCCAATCCATCTCATTGGGGGTCTTCCTCTTTCTCTGACCCTCCACCTTACCAAACATGATATCCTTCTCCAGCGACTGGTCCCTTCTGACAATATGTCCGAAGTATGACAGAAAAGTTTGGCCATCTTGGCCTCCAAGGAGCACTCTGGCTGCACTTCTTCCAAACCAGATCTATTGGTTCTTTTGGCAGCCCATGGCACTTTCAATATTCTCTTCCAACACAATAACTCAAAATCATCAGTTTATCTATGGTCTTCCTTATTCACTGTCCAGCTTTCACATGCATATGAGGTTATTAAAAATACCATGGCTTGGGTCAGACGCACATTAGTCCTCAAGCTGACATCTTTGCTCTTCAACACTTTAAAAAGGTCTTATGCAGCAGATTTGCCTAATGCAATATGTCATTTGATTTCTTGACTGCTGCTTCCATGATCCAAGAAGTTGATCTAAGAAGAATGAAGTCCTTGACAACTTCAATCTTTTCTCTGTTGATAAAAATGTTGTTTATTGGACCAGTGGTGAGGATTTTTATTTTCTTTACGTTGAGATATAATCCATACTGAAGGCTGTGCTCTTTGATCTTAATCAGTAAATATTTTAAGTCCTCTTCACTTTCACTAATGCCTAGGATATTGATATTTATGCATTTCATTTCACTTTCAATGACTTCTGATTTTCTGAGATTTATACTTTATGCATTCTGACTATTAATGGAGGACTGCAGTGAAAGTTATACATAGTTTGGACATGTTATCAGGAATGATCAGTGCCTGGAAAATGACATCATGCTTGGCAAATTAGAGGGTCAGTGTAAAGAACAAAGACTTAA